TAGGATATCATGCCCACATTTTGTACGGAAATTAACCACTAGGAAGAATGTATGTAATGTGTTAATTATTGAAACTGTCCTACCAATTTGACTTGAAACTGTCTCATTGCTGTTTGTTTCTCAATAAAATTATTGAAAAAAAATTAGAATGACTGAATGAAAGCTAAACTCCAGTCCACTGCCCAAATCTGCCAGAGCTCAGATGCTCATAGGCCACATGGGCATTGGGACTGCTATGTAGAAAACAGGGATTCAGCCTTGTTCCTTTATGGAACCTTCCCTCCTGCTCTAGCTCAATGGTGTTAACTTAGAAACAGAGGCCCACTTTGTCACAGAGCTGGGTCTCATGTGAGAGATCCACAGCCCATAATACTGACATAGATGTCAGGATGACTTTTCTCCTGGTGCCAGGTACCTGGATGAATCCCTCCTGCCTTGTCACACATCTACCCTCTCCAGAATTGCTGTTATAAAGATTTTGCCCGAGTGTTGAGACTGGGAACCTGTTCTGCATCCCACTGTCCTGTGAACAAGGAGCCAGGCTGCTCTCTGCACACCGTGGGCTCAGTTCCTGCTGAGCAGGCCAGGCATCTTCATCCATCTCCTTCCCTGAAATCAGTGTCTGTGCAGAACAGGCCCAACTGCTACTCTGAACTAAGGTTTCTCCAGCTAAGGGTATCAGCATGATTTGTTCCTGCACACAGGATTCTCTTCACTGGAGCACCTCAGTGTGGACAGTTTCCCTTGAGCACCTGCTCCCTCATCCTCCATTAGGGACTGTGTGGACACCGCAGTGACTAACGTGCACACCAGTTAGAACCAGATCTCCCTTGCCTCTCATGACTGGAATTTCTTTGCTCTGTGGCTGGTCGATTCCCATTCACCTCTCTGATCCAGGTGTGTTCCAAGGATCCTGTCCACACACGGTTCCAGTGACAGGGGCCTGAGGAATGGCACTCATGCCCAGCCCTAGCAGGAAGACTGTCTGAACCCTAGAACACACTAAAGTGACTAAGTCACTCTGCATCTCCCAGGGGGTTGGGGAGTGGCACTTCCTCTACTGGCTGAGGTCACTGGTTGAGGGGAACCAGCTAGGTATTGGTTTCAGTGGGTAGACAGGATGCCACCCATGCTGAAGGACATGCACACACCATGCTGCAGCAGAAAGGGTAGAGAACTACATGATTTCTCTTGCAGATGCTTCATGAAGGCTGGCCTGGTGCAGCTCACCTGGTGCTAAGAGGAAGCTCCAACAGCTACACATACTGTTAGCTTTGCAGTATAACACTCACCCACAAAGTTAGAGATCGTGGGTTTCTTTTTCTGGATTGAGAATAAATAACAAATTAGCTCTACAAAGACTTCACACGTTCTGTGCTCAACATTTCCACTCTATATTCAAGTGAGCTGCAAAGCACTATATGTGGGGAAGACGTGTTAACCAACTTTCCAAGGGTAGGTGTGCGAATGGTATCTTCCTCTCCACAGGCAGCAATAATCTGACCTGAAAATGCAATGGCGAACGGTACCTGGCAAGGCAGTTCACTCACAGTCTGTCTCAGCATTCTCTGTTGCTTCTTTTCCCAGAATGTCCTAACGTTATTTTGATCCTATATGAGGTTTTATTAGTATTTATAGAGTACTTTAAATTCTTGGCACACACATGCTGCTCACATTTTAGTTTGACAAAAAGACAACTGCTCCCCAATATGTTTTTTTAAAAAGCTACCTGTTGTCCACTTCCAGGCGCAGTCCTTGTGTCCATCTCAACTCTCCTGAGCACAGCACTATCTGTCTCCATTTCCATCAGCCTTCTGCTGCTCTAAGTGTTCACTAGAATCCCAGGTGAGCTCCACACAGTGCCCTCTGCTGTCTCCTCCCACCTCCTCCCTACTTTTCCAAATGTCCCTCCTGGACCAAATCTGCGGGTCCTCCCTGGGGAGCCTGTTGCCATGTGGCTGGCCCATTCCTGACCCACCACCCCGAGATGCTGCTCCCAGTTCAGGTTCTCTCCTGCTTCCCAGGCTCTGCTCACGCTGCTCTGTGCTGCAGACACCACTGCCAGGGCCCTGTGGCAGCTCTGGCCCTTGGGGAGACTCAGCCTGGAGCACAGGGAGCGTGGGCCAGCTGTGTCCCTGCACTTCCTGGCTTGCAGACCCTGAGCCTCCTGAGCAGTCACAGTGCACACCCCATGGCTACAGGAGGGCTTCACCCTCAGGACCTCTCCCCAGCTCTAGCCATCATCCCAGTGAACAGAGGCCCCCAAAGACAGTGGCCCTGCCTGGGACAGAGCAGAGGGAGCCTCGCTGGTCTGTGCTCTCAGCTGTTACATCCCACAGTTCCTTCTTCATGAAGGACAAGGGTACATTAGTTACTCCCAGGCCCTGCACCATGGAGAATCTTGCTGTCCAAGCTGTGGTGCAGCCTTTTATCCTTTCTCTTTCTCTTTCTCCTACAGACATCTGTAGCCCCAGCTCTGCCCTCAGCCCTGCAGGGAGCACATTGGGACAAAACAGGAGCAGCTGCTTCCCCCAACACAGGTGAGCATTTTGATGGCAAAGCACACACGGAGAGAAAACATGTCCATGTGGGGCTTGACCTCCCATCACCTGCTCATGCAGGGCTGCACTCTCTCCATCCACAGCCCAGGCCTGGAGCCGTAAAGCCAGTGGAGCTCTCAGCCCTCAGGACAGTGTGTGCACAGCTGTGGTGCCTCACTGTGGAAGAGGTGGTGGGCATCCTCCTTTAGGTCCCCAGAAGAAAATCATTATATGGGAGGTGAGAATCGGAGCACAGCAGGGAGTGGGCATTTATTTCAGCTGTGGGCTCAGACCGTGTGTTGTTACTATAGCACAACACCAGAGGCAGCCAAGATAAGAAAAGGAAATCCTGATGGAGGAGAGGCGTGAGCAGTCCGATGCCACTAGGTCTGCACGGAGGATCTGCTGCTCAGAACACAGGCTATGGACACTTCTAGACCAGGAGGTTTTTCTGGGTCTGGAAAAAACTCTCCTCAGTAAACATTTGCAAAAGGCCTGGGAATAACACTCTAGGGAGGCTCTCAGAAGATGCGTGTCCTGATTGGAGTCTGGCTTCTGTGACCATTAAGGTCAGACCCCAGGTCCTTTCTTTAATGACTGGGGCTCCTGCCATGTGGGAGGGTGTGGGACCCAAGGGCAGCTTGCATATGGACTGAGATTTCTCTATGGAGTTTGGATCCTGAGACTGCAGCAGCCAGAGCCTGGCCCAGGGCAGAGCTTTCTTTCCCCTGGGGGTGGGTCCACAGAGGTGGGGACCGGGGCGGTGACATCTCTGAATTTCCACTTCCGTTCATCTGTGTGTTCTGCAGCACGGATGCCTCCTCTGTCAGAGCCAGAGCTGCAAGAACAGCCAACATGATGCCTAAAGCACCTGCTCTGCTCTGCCTAGGTCAGTGCTGGGAGCAGGAGGGGACCAGGCTGGGGTGGCGAGGGGGAATCAGCTGGGGCTCCAGATGGAATCTCTGACCGCACAGAAATCGCTCTTGCAGGGCTGAGTCTGCAGTTGGGGCTGCAGGGACCAGCAGGTGAGTACCCCCTAGTGCCTGGTAACCTGCTCCATCCTCAGCCTCTTGGCATCAGATGGGGGTATGCAGGCTGGGGCTGAGGGTGAGGAACTAGGAGAGGCTGTGGAATAATGCAGGAGACGGAGCCAGGCCTGGGCTCAGCCCCTGGATTCTTTGCAGGGACCCTCCCAAAACCCACGCTGTGGGCCGAGCCAAGCTCTGTGATCCTCCTGGGGAGTTCTGTGAGCATCTGGTGTCAGGGGATCTTGGGGTCCCAGAAGTACCGTCTGTACAGAGAAGGAAGATGGAAGACCTCGGCACTATCAGTCATACTCAACAAGGCCAAGTTCTTTATCCAGTCCGTGAGAGGAGATGATGCTGGCCGTTATCGTTGCTACTATAGCAGCTCTACCCGCTTGTCACAGCATAGTGAACCCCTGGAGCTGGTGGTGGCAGGTCAGGGGGCACTCAGGTTCCCAGCCCTACTCTCTACTCTCATGAAGGGGCCTGCTCTTGGGGTGTCCCTCTTTCTCAGCCCAGCCCTAAGGACAATGTGGGTCTTGTAAGGCCGTTTCACACACTGCTTTTTTCTCCTAGGAGTCTACAGCAAACCCAGCCTCTTAGCCCTTCCAGGCCCTGTGCTGACCTCAGGGGGGAATGTGACCCTCCAGTGTGGCTCACAGAGAAAATTTGACAGGTTCATTCTGACTAAGGAAGGAAGAGATACTCCTGCCTGGACCCAGAACTCACAACGTCTTCCCAACAGACTTTTCCAGGCTGTGTTCCACATGGGCCCTGTGTTTCCCGAGCACAGCTGGACGTTCAGGTGCTACGGCTCTGACAGGAGTAATCCCCATGTGTGGTCCATACCCAGTGACCCCGTGGAGCTCCTGGTCTCAGGTGGGAAGACCCTGTCCCAATCCTCTGAGCTCAAAGAGCCAATGGTGCTGCTAACCCCAGGGACATTGTTTCAAAGTTGGCATGGGGAGGACATAGGGATTGTAGCCAGGGGAGGATCCTTCCTCTAAGCCCTCAGGGTTGCTCTGAGGTGGACCCAACAAGGCCCATTGTTCAAATTTAGAAAGTGCCTTGTGGATAGGGGTGGTGTCAGGCAGGTCTGGGGACAGTGCCCAGGGCCACCCTGGCCCTCACACACTCTGGTCTTCACTGCTAGGGTCACCTGGTTCAAGTGCGCAATCCCTACAAGACTCATCTACAGGAGCCACTGAGGACTCCACACACACTCTTGGCCCCCAGCTCCCCAGCAGAAGAGTTCCAGGCTCTGTCCCCAGTGTCCTGCACCCAGGCTCCTTGGAGGCTCTCAGGCCATCATGGCTCTCTTTCCTGACTCAGCCCAGCTGGTGTCCAGAGACCGGGACTTCAAGTGCAGGTGTGGACAGGACCCAAGCAGGAGAGTCATCCTCTGGCCCTGGTTCTTCTCATCTGTAGCCTGCCTGGGTGGGACAGCAGAACCCTCTACAGGACTGAGAGTGCTGGAGATCATGAATTCAAACCCCACCAGGGCAGGGTCGTCTTTGAAGGAATCTTTTTCTGATCTAGATATCAGTCCTGGACAAGGTCAGGGAAGGAACCTGAATGTCCTGATTTGGGTCTTGGTCGCCTTCTTCCTCCTGCTTGCACTCCTTGTGCTTTTGCGACTACAGCATAAGAGTCCTCACAGGAAAGCAGGTGAGCAGGGGAGGAGAGGCTGGGTGCCCCCCAGGGAGGGTCAGATGCTGTGCTCAGAGCCCCACAAGCCAGCAGAGCCCAGGTCTAAGGTGCCTAGGTCAGACCCTGCCCACGAGAAGCTACAGCAGATATGCTAGTGTACCACATGGGTGTCACAGGGCAGCCTCCTTCTTGTCACCAGGACCCAGCTCTGCTGCCACCTCCCCAGAGCACTTCAGCAGCCACCAGGTAAATTGACCTCACTTCCACACTCACCCTCTCACCCCACTGTGTTATTGCCTCCATTCTTCCACAATGAATGGTTTCTTTGCTTAAATCTGCAACCTGTACCTTCAAGATCCTGAGCTCTCAGAGGGCCAGGACCCTCTCCTGTGTCCTTACCCTGAGCCTCACCCAGCTCCCTGCAGGCTGGAGCCCAGAGAGTGAGAAGCCGTGTGCTGGGAGCCCTGCCCCTTCTCCCTGCAGTGTCCATCTCCACGTGAACAGGGAACGCTGCCTCCCCGAGGGCTCACAGTCTATAAGGCTGGGAGTGTGGCTTGATGGCCACCAGGACTCAGGGTCTGAGTCCTCAGATTGGCACATGCACAGACAGACAGACAGACAGACAGACAGACAGCAATGACAGAACCAGGATGTGTACAAAGACCCCCTCAGTGTAAAGTGCTGTGAGGGTCACAGCATAGGGAGGAGCAGGGAGTCTGTGGGAAAGGGGTGGGCTCTAGGGAAAGGTGCAGAGGAGACCTTCTGAGCACGGGTGCCTCAGCACAGACGTGAACAGAGGACATGGATGGGACAGTCCCAGGCATGAGCTATCCTGTCAGGGAACAGCAAGTGCCAGGCCAGGTGGGACAGGGCACATTGTCCAAGATCAGGCTGTAACTTCCTATCATTGGGAGTGACAACGGACAAAAATACCAGTACCCATGATCAGAACTGTTCTGGACTCAGTACAGTGGCAGCCTGGACACTGACGGGGTTCATGAAGCCCCTATAAGATTCCCCAGGCCGGGTTCGAGCTGACGGCTGTCCCAGTGCTCACTCTGCAGTCCCTGTGGGACTGAGCAATGGAGCAGCACAGAGTTAAGGAGCTGTCTTGGTCACTCTTCCCTGCTGCAGAGCCCTGAGTATGAGGACATCCAGGAAGTGACCTACACCCAGGTGCAGGCCTCCAGATGGAGATGCAGCAGGGTTCCCCTGTTTCACCCACATGAAGGCCATTCCTGGATGTGGAGGACAAACCCACACAAGAGGGTAGGCAGAGGGACAGGCAAATGATTGCTGTCCCTTGTAGGCCTCCAGGATTTCTTAGGCTGCAGCCTTATTCCTTTCTCCACTCTCAATCCCCAGGCAGCTGACTCTGAAGGCCCTGATGGAGTTATTTATGCCCAGCTGTCCATCAGAGCAGGAGAAATGTCACAGCACAAAATGCTTGCACATGGGGACCTCAGGAGGGACAGGAGCTTCCCCCAGGTGCACTCATCTGAGGACCACGGGCAGCCTGGGCATACTGCATGAGACCCTGAGGGATCCTAGAGTCACCTGATCCTGCATTCCAAGGGAGCTGCACCAACACATCTGAGTATTTACAAGTCAGCTTTATAAATAACCAAGCCTCTGCCAAGAAAATAAAACAGTGATCAAATTTATCATCAGATTAATCATATCGCAACCTTATAAAGCATCTATACCTTAGAGTGAATGAAAGACTTAAATAAACAAATTGAAACAGAAAATCACAAGAAATTCAATGATTTACATTTGCATCAAAGTGACATCAATTTTGACAAAGTAATGTTCATAGTGAACAATAGTAATTTAAATTGAAACAATATAAATATAAATGACATTAAAATATAATGTTTATTTTTATATATTAATTTTATTAAGAAAGAAACAGCAATGAGACAGTTTCAAAACAGGTTAGTAGGACAGTTACAATAATTAATACATTGCATATTGTTGTATTTGTAGTAGTTATTCATAGTTCAAGATGCAGACATGATATCCTGTCCAAACACTACTGTTAGTACAAATCTTTCTTCTCATTGAACTAAGAGAAAGTAGCTGTATATCTGTGATAAAAAAAGAATACAAATTTTAGCATATATATATATATATATATATGCTAAAATTTGTATTCTTTTTTTGTTTAGTTTTGTCAGAGGTGGGTATTCCACTGCCAATCATATATTGTAGGTACATGAATTCAGCAAAGTAATCCAATATAGCCCAATAGCCTATACTAGTACTGGGTTATCTGCATGACTGGCAATGTCAGAAGTTGATGACTTGAGCCTTTTAAAGCTCTGTATATTAATATGGCTTTTCTTTTTATATCTCATTTTCATACTTTTCTGCTGGATGGTTAAGACCAAGATAAAGCAAGACCTATATAACAAGAAATGTAACTTTTGTATCTGACAAGGTCAGTCAAATCCCCTCAGGATTTACCCTGAAACCCTCTACCGCAGTTTGTAGATCCTTTGTCAGTGTCAGCCATGTGGATGAGTTATGGCCATTGCTTGACCAATTTGCTCTTTGTGAAAGCCAGATAGAATATTTTCTGTCCAGGTGAATCTCCTTAGGCACACTCTACATCGTCAATCACCTTCCTCTGTGGCCGCATAATCTTCTTGCTCAGAAAATTTGGGACATGACTGAGTTACAGGATGTTCTGCCTCTCTGTCTCTCTGTCTTTCTGTCTCTGTCTCTGACTCTCTCTCTCTCTCTCTCTCTCTCTCTCTCTCTCTCTCTCTCTCTCTCTCTCTCTCTCTCTCTCTCTGTGTGTGTGTGTGTGTGCGCACGCGCGTGCGCACTCCCCTCTCCTCAGGATACTGTGAGCATCTTTCCCTGGCCATTGCTCCGATGTTTCTCTGCATGGTCCTATGCAGTGGAGCTGAGTGATTGTGCCCTTCGGTACCACCAGCTATCAGTTTCAAATCAAACTTTACATTTCTGATTTTTTAGGTATGTTTTCAGAAAGCCAAAATGCTAACACATTTACCTTACAAAGCATCCTGAAGTGAGTTCTTCGTGCTTAGCCTGAAGGCACTGAACATAACACAGGGCTGGGGTTGCTCAGTGCTCGGCATATGTGAGGCCCTAGGTGTGGTCAACAAGACTCCACAAAACAATGAAGAAAAAACCAAGCATCATGAGCATTTTTGATACAGCAGAGCTCGTGGTGAAAGGAAATACAGAACTCTGCTGTCCCACAGCTGCGGTGTGGAATCGCACCAACTCCTGTGCGTAACTTCAGTGCAGCACAGCTAGGATGGGCTCACTGGCGGAGCACTTGCTGAGCACGTGCAGTTCTCCGTGTCTGGTTCACAGAACTGCAACGGGATTTAAAGGACAAATCTATGTGAACTAGAGCTGCTGGACGTGGGGCCCAGGGCTACCTTCCCAGGCCTCGGAGGGCTGAAGCAGGAGGATCACATTCCATTCCAGTCAGCCTCAGATGCATGAAGAAGTTGAATCCCAGCCCAAGGAATGTTGTGGGATCCTATCTCAAAAGTATCAAAGCATAAAGGCAATTTTAATGCAATGTAACTGTAAAATGAGCTAATAGATAAATGACTTAAAACATGTCAATTAAGCAATAACACAATATCTGGCAAGCTAAAATGTTATAAGTGAACTTAGGAGAGGGCAATGAACTATGTACACACCCCGTAGCCTGTCTTCTGCAATCCTCAAGGCAACCGCAGTGCAGAAACCTACACTAGACTTGGAGAGGGCAGGAGGTTGGGCCGTGCTGGGCACCCTAGAGAAATGCTGCATCAAAGTACAATGTGAAAACGGTGGGATGGAGCTCAGGGTTCGAAAATTTTCCTAGGTTGGCTGGGGACCTGAGTCCAAAACAGAGCAACTAAGTTAACTTTTTATTAACTCAGTAATGTAATGGAAACAGAAGAAAGTTTACAGTCTGAAATACCCATCTGAGACAAAACTAAACAAAAAAGGGGGATATAAATGAAGGACCCTTTTTTGGTATTTTTTAGGATTTGTTAACATTTATTTTATTTTATTTTTCCATAATTTTATTGACAAACAAACAGCAATGAGACAGTTTCAAATCAAATTGGTAGGACAGTTTCAATAATTAACACATTGCATACTCTCTTCCTAGTGGCTATTTGCTGTACAAGATGCAGACATAATATTCTATTTACAAACATTATTAGAACAAATCCTTCTGTTTATTGAGAATGTAACTATATATCTATCCTAACCATTTTGAATACACAGATACAAAATGGATATTCATTTATATATTGCCTTTTTTGTTTAGTTCTGTCTTTTGAATATTAAAGGTTTTAACTCAGCAAAATATTCTAAAAGACTCCAGTAATCCATAATAGTATTTACCTGTTGTCATTTACTCCTTTTTCTCCTGTGTTTAATTGCTTGCTCTATTTAATTGGTTGCTTCTGATCTCATTCATGGAGTTCTGATCATTTTTGTCCCTCTCTAGAGCATCTTTTAAGGAGCCTGTGTAGGGTTGGCTTTGTCATCACAAAATTCTTTAGTTGTTCTTTGTCATGGAAGTATTTCACTTCTCCATCAAACTTGAAAGAGAGTTTTGCAGGGTATAGTAGTCTGGGCTGGAATTTGTTTTCATAGAGGACCTGAAGTACTCTGTTTCATGCTCTTCTTGCCTGCATGGTTTGTGAAGAGAAGTCGGCCGTAATTCTGATGGGTTTTCCTTTGAATGTGATCTGCTTCTTTTCTCTAGCAGCTTTCAGTATATTACTCTTGTGCTGAATTTCTGGGATCCTGACTATTATATGTCTCGGTGTGCTTTTCACTGGGTTGAAGTTACTTGGCGTTCTGTATGCTTCAGTTACCTGAATGTCAGACTGTTTCCTCACATTTGGGAAGTTTTCTGCTATTACTTCTGCCTATGTTTTTTTTTTTTTTAATGTCATTTATATTGACTCCTTCTTTCTCCTTGATGCCTATTGGTCTCACATTGGTCAACTTTGCATCGTTTTGCAGGTGATGGATTATTTTTTCCTGCATCCTAGTTGTTTTTAAGAAATCTTAGCTTTTCACTAGCTGCACCAGCATCTTCAAGATCTGAAACTCTGTCTTCACTTTCACTGAACCAGTTTTGCAAGTTTATGATGGAGATTTTAAATTCCTCGATATCTCTTCGACTCTGCTTCATGTAATCTGCTTCTTTCTTCTATTGCTTATTCAAGGAATACGTCATTTTTCTAACTTTTTCTATTTTTTTCTCAATGTCCTCTTTAGAAGCAGTTATTAATACTTTCACTGCAGTGTTTTCTTGACATTGGGTTTCCTCCCTATGTTTCTGTAGTTGATCTGTTACTTCAGATGTCACAAGTTCAGAATTTTTTTTTTCTTTCAGTATAGAATTCCACTCTGAGTTCATCTATAAATTTCTGCTGTTGCTTATTTACAATCAATACTATTAAATTATACAATTGAGCTGAGCAAGTGTCCTCTGTACTTGTTCTGCGCGGGCATGGGATTTCCTCCATATGTTTCTGCATTTGACTCTTTACTGCAGATGCTATTAATTAAGGGTTTTTTTCATTGCTTTTTTCCCATAATTTTATTGAGAAACAAATAGCAATGACACAGATTGAAACCAAATTAGTAGGACAGTTTCAATTATTAACACATTACATTCTTGCCAGTGGTTAAGTGCTATACAAGATGCGGACATGATATCATATTTACAAATGCCATTAGAACAAATCCTTCTATTCATTAAGAAAACGTAACAATATATTTATCCTAACCACTTTGAATACACAGATACAAAATGGACATTCACCGGTATACCCCATTTTTTCTAAGTTCCGTTATTGAATATTATAGGTGTGTAAACTCAGCAAAATATTCTAAAAGAGTCCAGTAGCCC